CCCCAAAACCCCAAAACCCCAAAACCCCAAAACCCCTATTTTATAATTCAAAATTGCTTATAATCCCCAACATGAACTCCCCTTGTTCCTTCAACCCAACTTTTGCTCCAAAGAAACTGACTCAAAATCCCATGCTGTCTTCTACAAAGTTGTTAAAATCTTTATATTCAGCCTGCGAGCGGCCAAAGGCCGCTCAGGGCAAGCAGAAGATTAATTTCAGAGCAAGGATTGTATGCGACCGTATGAGGTGATTAGGATTGATATTTTGGGGAGGAAGTTAATGGTTGTTTTTCGTATTTTGGTGGTTGGAATCTAGATTTTTAGGGGGATAATGGATAGAAGAATGGAGAGAGATGTTTTTTTATAGGTCTTGAGGTTAGATAAATTTTAATATGCTTTTTTAGATTTGAAGAATTGAAGAAAATCAAAATCAAAAGATCTAAGCGAAAAATAAGAAAAAGTTCAATAGGAGTGAGATCAACCTCAAGGTAATTACCATGCAGGAGATATTTAAGTAATCTTATAGGTCCAATTCTAGAAAGGGGTGCAAGTAAGCTGAAAATCGCGAAAAAATCAAGGTAAATTATGCTCTTTAAATTATTTGTATTTGTTCCTTCCAACTGGTCTCAGAAATATTCATAATCTATCTGAATAAATGACATAACTATACAGGAGCAAGAACTCTAAGTAAGATGAAAAGTTCAAAGCAATTGAATATGAATACCCAACGGATGTACAATTATATTAAGAATCAAGGTAAATAGTCTGGCTTTAAGCTTCTCTAACTTAAATAGCTATAAGTATTCCTAAGAAGAAAATGCTAAAAAGTAAGTAACTTCAACTGAGATTTCACTACTTTTTGGTTGATCTATGAACCCAGTAATAATACTTATAGTCAAAGGGAAAACTTCCAGGAATAAAGATCCTATTGGATCTAAGACCCAAGGTCTTGGGTCTCACTTCAGGATTGCTTACACTGATCCCAGCTGCTTTGGCAGCTCAGCGGGTGAGCTCACGGATACAGATCCATGAATTAACTACTGAGACCAGTTCGAAAATACTGAAAAGGATTGATTTACCAGTCAAGATACAGAAACTCATTTCCCTTTTAACCACACCCAAGAAATAGTTAACCAGAGTAAAGTATTGCCAATAACTTCTAGACAGTGATATTGGGCTAGATGAAGGACTTGGCGAGCCTGAATTAGAAGAAGAAAATCAAAAATAAAATCATTCCTAGACGCAAGAAGAGAACTTCCATTATCAAGATAAAAGATCAACATTTCTTGGATGATTGTAAGACTGAAGAGTCATTTTTAGCCAAAGAAGTCAGAATGCTCAAGAACGTCCTTGGTGAAAATCACAAAAATGACAGAGATGAATTCTTTAGTAATAAAATAGGTAGGAATTTTGACTATCCCTTACTCTGTGGTATTAATTAGAGAGATAGAAAATACTGTCAATCCAAAGAATGATCTTTGTGAACTTTTTGATCCTAATCAGATCATTAACGAGCTGACCTACCGACTTCATCATCATTCCAAAAGTGACATAGAACAAGAATTTAAGCCTCTGTACAAAACTCATCGACCAACAATCGTAGTGGAGGGTGAGGAACACAAAGAGGAAGATTCAGGAGTAAGATATTAATAACCCCTAGTACTTCACAAACTTGCTGTGTTCAGCACCTCCAAATCCTATTTCGAAGTCTCCCAATCCTTCATGTCTCAGCACTACTAATGCAATCACGATCATTCCAAATAATATTGAAAAACGTATTACAAGACTGGACCGAACGATAGAAGATATTTCAGAGATAAATCCTAATTTGGCGCATACTGATAAAGGTTTTGACCCAATTAAATCACAAAAGTCCCCTCAATGTCCTGACCTCGTCCTGAAAGAGAGTAAGTTAAACACTACTCCAATGCTTTATAATCTATCTGTTAAGAATAGTTTACTGTTCTGTATGGGCTAACTATTTTAGAATATCACATTGAATAACTCCTGAGCATAATTTCTAACTGATTTTTACTATGAATTTCGACAAAGCTCTTTCTAATTCTTGAGAAATAGACGATGACTTCATTAAGAACTGGAAAAGAGCAAAGGAGGCTATCAAAATTAAAATTGAAGGTAATGAGTAGAAGTTTCAATATTGTCCAACCTAAAAGGGGTTTTGGGGTTTTGGGGTTTTGGGGTTTTGGGG